TGACTTACCACTACGGTCACTGGCATACCAAGCTGCCACGCTAGCGGTGGCGGTGGTATCAGTTAAATATCCACGCTAATGGTGTGGCTTGAAATCGGGTCGTGGATATCCTGTGGTCTGTTCCCAGATGACTGCACCGCTTGTCGCATGATATGACATGACATTATTGCACATAACTCGTTTATCCTACATTACGTTCGTAATTTATCACATCACCACACACTTTAGGGTCCTATGAGTTCAAAAATGCGGCGCATTTGGCGATATACGCTCTGCTGAGTTACTATTTGAGGCCGAGCCTCTCAGCAATATTGCAGACGAGTAGAGACCAATTCGGTCCCGTCTCATATTCCTGCACCCGACGCGTGACTGAGCGGTGGCTACTAGCCCACGAGATGGCTTTGCGGATGGGGTCCACTGAGACGTCCTGGCTGAATGCTGGACCACGACTGAATTTGGTGGGCGCCGCCCACCCAACGCTTCGCTAATCACGTGAGTCGCGGCTGGTCAAGACACTGAGCCGGGCGCCGTCTGGGGGCGGGAGTGGCGGTGTGGTGGAGGGTCCGCACCTCCCGCCGATCCGCGGGAGTGCCCACAGAGTTCAGAATACGGTGCGCACTGCCTGCAGCTGTGCCGAGCGTAGGCCGGGGCGAGCCCGATACTTCACCCGCGCTGACAGATGTTCCTCGCGACCGTGATTTGAAAAATGGTGAGGCATACTTCGCAGCCAGAAAATTGGGCTGGTGCTGATGCGAGCTGGCTGAGAGGGTCTTCACCGCGCGTCGGCGCTCGCGTAGCTCACCAAATTGACAAGGAAGATGGCCACCCTGTATGGCCTGGCTAAGCTTGCATGCCTTCTCTGCTCTCTGACCCGTATGCATGCAAGGCTTTCGGTACTGACCACGGTCGTTGCCAGCTCCCTGCCCGACGTTCAGACTGGACCCTGCTGTCGGTAAATGCAGCGCTAAATGCCTGGTGGCGCTCAAACCACCAGCTTCTGCGTGGTTCACGCACGGCATGTGATTTCGATCCATTTCAATCCAAAGGAATGTTCTACATTTGAGGATATTCAAACAAGCATCAAATATGACAAAATAAGCTCACTGATGACTTTTCGTACGTTTTTAAGTGTGTGCCATCGGGCTTTACAACGCACTCAGCTGCTGAGGCGACATGGCGTCGCCTGCCTCTCGCCCTGGTAGGGAGGGCGGGCACTGCAGGGAATCGAACCCCGTACCTCTGGTTTCCCCAGACACAGTGGTTAACGCGAGGGCGTTAACCACCTCTCTATCGGCGCCATATACTTTTAGTGTAAAAACTGCTCTTGACAACAACATCTATTTATTTTGCAAATGTGCTCCTCATTGCGCTATTGTTTGATTGCGTCATGGAACGTTTGTATGACAGTACTCATTTGTAGTTCTCCGATCTCCCTAGAGGTGGCCCGGGTCGGTACTAATTGCATAACTTCCGCAACATTTGATGAGAGCCAATTGACGGCTGCTTAATCTCATAAACGCCAGACATTAACGACTCGCCAGTTATATCTTTATTGACCTTGAACGCTTTCTGGCCGGCGAAATGACGCGATTTGAATGACGTCATTATGGCGCCATGGATATCGGGATGACCTTGTAATAGTCCGCTCAAAATAGTCTGCATATTATTGCGGGCGTGTAACTCAGAACTAAGTATTAAGTCTCGAGAAGGGCAGGACTGTGAACCACGCCAAATGATCTTCAGTATTCCTTCATCTATTTCAGTTCAAAACCACGTACATAGGTGGAACACTCCCTTTAAGGAAGTGTACGCACGAATGTGTGCCTTTATGCAAGCATGCATGCATGCAGTTGCACTTGTACTTCCACTTGCATGCATGCAATAGAGAGAGAGAGAGAGAGAGAGAGAGAGAGGAGAGAGAGAGAGAGAGAGAGAGAGAGAGAGAGAGAGAGAGAGAGGAGAGAGAGAGAGAGAGAGAGAGAGAGAGAGATAGAAGAGAGAGAGAGAGAGAGAGAGAGAGAGAGATAGAGAGAGAGAGAGAGAGAGAGAGAGAGAGAGAGAGAGAGAGAGAGATAGAGAGAGAGAAGAGAGAGAGAGAGAGAGAGAGAGAGAGAGAGAGAGAGAGAGAGATAGAGAGAGAAGAGAGAGGAGAGAGAGAGAGAGAGAGAGAGAGAGAGAGAGAGAGAGAGAGAGAGAGAGATAGAGAGGGAGAGGAGAGAGAAGGAGAGAAGAGAGAGAGGAGAGAGAGAGAGAGGAGAGAGAGAGATAGAGAGAGAGAGAGCGAGAGAGAGAGAGAGAGAGAGAGAGAGAGAGAAGAGAGGAGAGAGAGAGAGAGAAGAGAGATAGAGAGAGAGAGAGAGAGAGAGAGATAGAGAGAGAGAGAATATATATATAATATATTATATTATCTCTCTCTCTCTCTCTCTCTCCTATTGTCTCTCTACTCTCTCGTCTGCTCTCTCTCTCTCTCTCTCTCTCTCTCTCTCTCTCTCTCCTCCTCTCTCTTCTCTCTCTCTCTCTCTCTCTCTCCCTCGTCCTGCTCATCCTCTCTCCTCTCTTCAGCTCTCTCTCTCTCTCTCATCTCTCTCTCTCTCTCTTGACTCTCTCTCCCTCTCTCTCCTCTCTCGTCCCTCCCTCTTCAACTATTCACCCTCGTCTCCGTCTCTCTCTGTCCCTCTCTCTCCTCTCCTCTGATACGCCGATCGCTTACTGCCACTTATTCATGCTGTGCCCTTCCTGCCTCTGCGCGATCGGATGATGTTCTGCTTCTCCGGCGCGCATAGAATGGCGCATAGAATGGCTCTTACCCCTGCCTGATGCGCAGCATCTTTCACTTCAAACAGATCGCTGCCAGACGGGCGTCGTGGTCAATTGAGACGCCTGCGTCCGAGCTGAGAGCTTTTGGCACCACAGTACTGCAGTACCGTACTGAACCTGGGGTCCTGTAAACTTGTCAAGATTCGCGATGTCGAACGGTACTGAGAGCTGACGGCCTCGCTGATTTCACTGAAAGCCGCTGCCGGAGCCATCGTAAGCTAAATCTTGTCGGTTGTACTGCCGATGCCGCATTAGTGTTGTGAGCGATTGAGGTTGTCTGGAATGGCAACAGCGGTTGATTTTTTCGGCAAACCTAGTTCGTTTAATGCTGCATCGATCCGCGGTAAATCTCAGCTATTCAGCGTGAAGAACGGCTCGTCAAGCCGCACGCGCCGCCCTAGTAAAATACTCGCTGCAATCTGTCGCCGGCCTTAAGGCAGGGGTAAGAACTGGCAGCGCAGAGGGGTGGGAGGGTGCACTCTTACACTGGCTGCGGGCGAGCGGTGCCTTTTGCAGCGATGACGTAGGTCTGAGAATGGTCCCTACGTTTCAATGCGTATGCGTGCCAAACTGTAGCATACTGCATGTAGTCACTTTTGAGACTGGTCTCGACGCGCGCATATGAACATAATATGTTAAGAGCTGAATCAGGCATGATGATCAAGGAAAACACAATGTTTGTTGTCATTTTAACAAAATTACACAACTGATAGCAATGTTATCAACATTGACATCAGCAAATTATCTGCGCTTAGTTCCTGTCGTTTGCGATCAAACACGCCTAAAGAACAATCTGGTTTCTGAATTCCTCGGACTGACTCTAAATTGACCACCTACGTTATCTAATATACACACCCGCTGACAATAGTCCGATAAAAATGTGCCAGATCGGTAAAGAACGCCAAAACGCTCTAGCCGATGCTCATGTGTTGTGGCCACTCACTCATTTGCCGCACCGGGCCATCCACGCCAATCTGCTCGTGGCACGGGGACGTCAGGATTATCTGGAGGCTCGGCATTTTCGGCACGTCGTCTGGAGATATGCATTCGTGGAACTGGTCATAATGTATCCGACCGTAGATGGCCTCGCTTGGAACGCATTTTCTATCACTGTGAGCTACAGAGCGGTAGATGTTCTGATAAGTAGCGTGATCCATATCTTATTTGCGGGCTGCTGCGCCGCAAAATCCATGTGTGAGATTCCCTGATAAATTGCCTTAAGACCGACCGCCTCACGACACTTGGCGTGCATACCGGTCCTGAACAGGCACTGCAATGCGCCGCTCAAATGCAGTACGGTGCCTGCTAATTTGCTGACTCGTTTGCGTTTTTTTTTTGCCGAAGCGTTACATAGTACACCCATTCCGACAGCGGTTCTCCAAATGTCGTGAAAATAACCTTGTGTGTTCATTTACTCACCAGAGATTTGATGTTGGTGCTATCCAACGTGTACTACTCGCTTCAAAGTTGTGACTTTCCGAACCAATTACCTCCACAATCCTAAATATTTATGTATTAGGTATGTTGATTTATTAGCACAACCAAGTTGTTTCAGCCTTTGGCCAAAAGTATCCTGTTTTTTCTTAACGTCTCGACTGTGACATGGGGATTCAACGTTTTGTTTTGGGGCAAACTGTCGCGAAAACCTGCCCGGTGCCTTTCTATATAAACGCGGCTAGGCTGGGCTGGACAATTGTCTAAAGTGCGTACCAGTTCATCTAGAGATCAGTGGGAACATCGAATGGGCTGCCTGCCTCCGTGTGATGTGCCGAAGCTGGAAATACATATTGTATTTCCTTCACACCTTACCTGCTTTGCGCTGTTGTCTATTTACGGTGTTAACGACTAGCCTGTGCCCTCCATGACTGGGCACGTCGGACATTGTAACCCGAATGCGTCCTCCTGTTTGAGTAGTTGTGGGCGTCGAATGTTGGACGTGTTGGAAGACTCGCACGCCCCCGGGCAGAGCTGCTTAGGACGTTCGCGCAGCCGAGCTAGGCGGACACGCTACGCATGATGTTTTCGTGCCATCGGAAGGGTGCGTCACATCTTATAGTGCCGTGGCCCCTAGCAGGAGGTGTCACACGTGAGGCCCCCATGCCTTCCGACAAGATGTCTAACACGTGCCGTTACTGTGGCCTGTGGCAGCTTGTGCCGCGTGTAACTGCTTTGCCCGCCGGCAG